GGGTGCTGGGGGTGGTGGTACGGTGGCCAGGAAAGTTCAACTCCTTTGGCAGGAGAAATTTAATTCTTGTCATGAGGATGCTTTTCTTTTTTGGAAGATCTCTGAATGGAAAGCCAACCTTTTTCCTTTTTATTCAGTCAGATATGCTTTTTAAAATTCTGTTCTTTCTTAAAAATGAAAGCTTTTTGAGGCATAGGTATATAAAAAATAAATGAATTGTTATAGAAATGGTAGGTACTTTAAAATAAAGGCCCTTTAAAATATTTTATTTAAATTCGTACACACACACACACACACACGCACACACACACCTGGTGTGTCTTTAGTTGTACAGTCGTAGCTGCCTTGATGTCCTAAAGTCCTGAAGAATAGATTCAAAATATTGACCTTTGAAGAAGAGTAAAAAGTTGCACAGTGCCAAACCCAATGAATAAGGTGGATAAGGGCACACTGTAATTTTTTTATGAGCCTACCTTTCTGCTGGATGGCATTGGGCAACAAGCATTGTGTTTTGGTTTTTATGGTTGTTTTTGTTTTTATCATCTCTTGTAAAGACACTCATGAGAGAGGATTTCCAGAACTGCTTCAGAAAGTGGCAAGAGTTATGGGATAATTGTGTTAGAAGCAAGGGGGAATACTTTAAGGGGGATTAATGGTAGAGTGTCTTTTACTGTAACATTTTTTAAAATTTAAACATATATATCTCATACAGTCTTTCTCATCTTGTTCATTTCCTTTCCTGCATATTGCTACCTTCTGAATCCATGTTAATATCCTAAATTTTTGTTCATAGTCATGTAATACAATTATTAGAGTTAATATATGACATACTGCCTGACTATTTAAAAAATTGCCTCATTTGATTTTCCACCAGCAATGTAGGGTGATATTAATTTTCCTATATCTTTTCCAGAAGTAGATATTTCAGCTAATTTTGTCACCAGATTGGACATAAAATGATACTTCATTATTATTTTAATTTTTCTTGTGCACTGCCAAACTTTACCATCTTTTAATTTGTTTGCTGGTTACTAGAATTTGTCCTTCTGTGAAATTATTCATATCCTTGGCCCATTTTTCTATGGAATGATTGTAGTTTTTAACAACTTAAGAATTCTCTTTGCATATTAAATGTTTTGTAATTTATCATTTCCCTCCACATCTATCATTTTTCTTCCTTTCTAGTCTTTTTTTGCTGCTTATGTAAAAGTTTCAGTTTTTTCTTCAGTCATTCCTTGATGTCCCTGGAAGATTCATCTAGGATCCCCCACCTCAATTCCTGCATTTATCCACTGTTCAGGCTCACGGTAATCTCCCTGCTTCTGAGTCCAGAAACTTATTTATTGGAGGCTTTGAGCACCTCCCTCAGAACAATTAATTGATTATGGTTTTTAGATGAAAGTTGTTGATTTACAAGTTGGTTAATTTCTTTTTTCCTGGCAACTTTCTGCCCTAACCTATGCCACTAACAGCTGTGAGACAAAGAGGATCACAGGACACACTAAGAGATGACCCAAGAGAGAGTAATAGTAGCTCACAGGCAGCAGGTGGGAAAGATTGCCTGGAAAGACTGAAGCAGACCCAGACTTCTCCATGCATGGCATCAGATGAGAGAACTAAGGGTCATATTGATCACCTTTAACCCCTGGAAGGATCTGCTACCTAGTTTGTCTTAAATAATGGGGAATGGAATGTATAATCCACTCCTGGATAGTCAGAGTTAAATATGTCAGGAACCTGAAGAAACTCAAAACACTTCCTATAGAAAGTCCTACATGATTAGGGGACAGGTGAACAGGCCCTGGGTCTGGGACACAGAGTAGTGTGTGTCCTGCCAAGCTCCCAGGTGTGTCAATGGTGGGTAAGAGTGGGAAGGACTGCTCTTGCCAACTACCCCAACAAGTCTGGGCAGACTGCGGGAAATGAATAAATAGCAGCTCTTGCCAGCCCAAAGGCCTGTGTTTACCTCAGAACACACAGACATAATAATCTCCATGAGAGCAGAGCCTCTGCTCTTTTCCCAGGGGACCTCTTTGTTGATTGCATAAGGATCCACAAGGGAATGGTGCTCTCCAACTTATAAGTCCTCACCATATGATAACTTCCTATCAGTTATGTCTATTCACCTAATTCACTGGACACATATGGAACACAACTGAGTATCAGACACTTAGGAAGCCTGACTCTGGAGCTCAACAGGTAGTATGTGTCGCATCAATGAAATCAGTGCTTCTTGACAATACTTCAGGCTTTCTGGGGATGTGAAATGGCCAAATGGGTGCTGTGAGGACACTTATCCTTTGGCCAGGGATAGGGCAGTTTAGAGGAGATGGACACCTGACTGGGACCTCACAGAGAGCTGGTGCAGGGTGACTGAGTGGATTAGTACAAACTCTAACACACTGAGGGCTCCCTCAGCCAGGCTCTGAACTAAGCTTTCCCTGAACCTCTTTTACTCACAAAATGGCTGGGTCTAGTAATAGCCTTTTACAGTGTAGGCCACTAACACTTGGGAATGGGAAGTAGCTTGCTGAAGGCTGCACAGGTAGGAAAATGTAACAGCCAGAACTCACAGTTTCCTGATTTCAGTGACTGAACCACATGTTATTGCCACCTGTGTTTAGGGGGACATGGGAGCTGGTTGCTGGGATCCCACCCTCTGTGAAAGCAGAATAGTTTCTCACCATTTCTACTCCTCACTTTGGGGGAAAATCTTGAAGGCAAATAAGCTTGTGAAGTTAGTTCCAGAAGTTCTCTCCCATGGATCACATTGCAAACAGACACAGTGACTCCACACAGACTTCTTCTCATTACCCTCGGGGAAGCCAGTCTGTGCCAATGCAATGGAGAAGTCTCAGATGCCAAGGTGAAATCAGGTTCCTGCAAGTCACCTGAGCCAAAGGAGTTCCAAGCTGGTCTCAGCTTCAGGACCTGTTTGACTGGTTTCTTAGGAGTGTTTCACCCACATTAGCCAAATGCTAATAGGAGCTTTGGAGTGTGTATTTGTTTCTGGGGTCAAGCTCATGTGAAAGCAGGAGTTGGCTTAATCCATTCCTTCTAAATGCCTGAACAGAAAGACAACCATCCCCCATCTCCTCCTAACACTGTGCACACAACCACACATATAAACACGCATGTACACTGCATGCACAAATACACATACAAAAGGCCCACACAATGCATGCACATGAACACATAGGACACAAAATACCAATATATGTGCCTTACAGATATGTATGCACACACACATGTATACTCATAGGTATACACCTACACACATGTACACAAACACATATATACATGACAAGCACACATATATGCACACAAAGCAATTGAATTCTATGGTTGCTACTTCTCCCTTCCTACCTTTAGAGACTGGTCCAGCAGCCCAGGAGAGGTCTTTCTCCTCCCTCTGACACCTGGGGAGTGTCTTCATCTCTCCTTAATAAGGGTACCCTTTCTCCTCCAGGTCTACAGTTGTTCTCATTGGGAAGAGTCTGTATCTTCGAGGGCAGTAAGCTGAAAGGCAGAAAGAAGGGGACATGTCCTTGGGAGGAGTGTCTACCTCCTACAAACCTGATCTCTTGTCCATCCTTGCTAACCACAACTTTCTTTCCCTTCTCTGTCTTATCAGCAAACTCTAGCCTCTTCTGCTCAGCTTCAGTTTTTCATAACCCTTAGCATCTCCCTTGTGTCCCTCACACACAGCCCAGGGGCATGGCTACCATAGCCGGGGATGGACGGGACACATTATTCCCTGCTCTAACTAATGTACTTTGAGTTTGCTTCTAAGTGGCCCAAGGGACCTCAAGTGTGTAGACAGGAGCAAGTAGCTGGGCCTCTCAGCCTTGGACTCCTCGCTGGATAAATAATATCCCTTGTTTCTTTTATTACACAGGTAGCCTCACAGGTGGTACAGCCTGTAAATGCACTTCAGCTAGAAAGACAATTGCAACTGCCACATATTCAGGTCTCCACACTACATGCTGAATAGTGCATACATTTGGCTATGCGTTAAACCATTAGACAATGAAGCTTAACTGGGTTTTGGCAACAAATGCCATGCTATTTCCTTTCCTAACTCCTAGTTCGACTGAGTCAAGCCCCTGAACTGTGGGTCACTCATGCCTATCTATCCCTGGTCCTGACTCAAAGAGAAGAAAGGGGCTCCCACACTTGAAGACTGAGCCAGTGTGTAGCTGCCTGCCCACCTACTGAGGGAGGAGGCTGGGTGAAAAGAGTAAAGAAACTACTTTAGTGTCTATGAATGCCCTGGAAAAAGCAAGTGTGGCCTTGGAGAGGAAACAGGGCCCACATGCAGGTAGAGAATAGAGAGACAGTCAAAAGTCATAGGACTTTTCTTCTTAGAGACTCCCTTTCTTCCTCCATAATACAAGAGTCACCTAAAAAGTATCACCTTCCTGTCCCATGATGGGACATAGCTAGATGTTTTTCTAAATGAAGAGCCACTGCACATGGAACGGCATTGGTTAGACCCAGTGTCCAAAGCTATGCTAACATTCAGATTCTTGGTTTGCTGGATTCATCTACAACTTGAAAATGGAGCAGTATCATTTTTCAGTTCAACCAAGAAAGATATAAGAAAACAGTGACCTTCAAGTAAATAGTTTCTTGAGGCTTACATCAAAAGAGATCCAGCTTATCCTAGAACATGAAGTTTATCATAGAATAATGACATCTTCTGTTGGTTCTGAACTTTATACTTTGATCCTAAGTAATCTTGTTAGATATGGTGGATGTATTATCCTAATTAATAGTAAAGATACTGAGACATAATGTGCCACATCAGTGGTAGAACAGGAACCAAGAACTCAAAAATCTTGATATAGTTTGTAAATTATTATTTAATATCAAGGGAAAATACCAAGTCAATACTTATTAAACACTCGGATTTTAATGACAGGCCTTGGTGATTAAATGAGAAGAAAAGGAAATTTCAAATATAGATTGCTATCTTCAAATATTCTTTTAAAAATAAATAAAGGAGCTGGATTGTATCTAGTTATTAAGAGTTCCACCCTTCTTGTGGTTCTTACCAAGCAAGGTTCTGGTCACCAGACTGGAATGATATTCTCCACCCAATACTGGTTTTCAGTTTCATTGAGAAATTGATTGTTTAATATTTATTGAGGCCTCTGTACTATTCCAGAACAAAGATGAGATAATCATCTTTCAGCATGATGTCTTTATAAAAAGTTATAAAATGGGATATTTCTTTTTGAATCTGTCTTTATACCTAAGTCCTCCTGAACTCATAAGTGAGATAAGGATGAGAATGCTCAGTCTGTTTCACTGGCTGAACCAGAGAAAGGTGGAATTTGTACATTTTTCTGGAGGAAAGTAAATAATTTTTTTTCTTAGTACAAGCAGTGGTTGGGTAGGGAAAGGATGGGAATCTGTTAAGAGGAGACTTGCTTGAGAAAGGCATCTTAGGGACTCCATGGCAAATAGCCCCTCACAGACATGGTTTCTACCCTTGGATGGATTTGGGGATGGTGCCTTGAGGGTTGAACTCTTGTTCCAAACCCTGTCCTCCAGAGAGTGGGCAGGGATGGGTTTCATTTCAGAAGGCAAATCAGATGTGTGGCCCTTGGGGTTCCTAGATGGCTCACCATGCTTAGGGCTAATGCTTAGTAAAACCAGAGGGAGGCCAAGTTCTCACCCTTAGTAGCTCCATTCTGCCCCTTCCTGCCCCTTGACACTTTCCAGGCTGGCCCTTGATGGCCATTTATTGCCTCCAAGTGTCCAGGCAGCTCTTAGAAAAGACTCCAACCTCAGTGGTTTTCTCCTCTGTAAATTAAACACATGCTGCTCATCTCCAAAGGGCATCAGCATAGACAACTTAGCAATAGACTTATAGCAATAGAATGGAATAGTAGGAATCACTGAGCTGGAGAGGAAGTATCCTTGGTTGGAGGGGTGGGTAAGCCCTTTCCTTGCCTTTGAAATAATGTCTATGGTGGAGTATGTCTGTAGTCCCAGCACTTGGGAAGCTGAGGAAGAATGGCGAATTCAGGACCAACCTGGGCTATGTAGTGAATGCCTGTCCCCCAAATCCAAAAACAAACAGCATCTCAGCACTGCCTATTATTCTAAATGCATCCTGGCTCCTTGCTTTCTGGAAGCTAAAGGTTTCCCAAAGTGAAGAGAACCCCATTCTCTGCTCTAATCTGCTGCCTTCTCTGGACTGTGGATTTGATGAAGGCCATGGTTGCACCCACAGAGACTCAATCCTCCATTCCAGCCACCAGCATCACCCTCAGGGAAAGAGCAGAGAGAAGGGAAATATGAAATGGAGCTCTCACTCCTCAGGACTATGTATCCGTACCCCTACCCCTTTTTAGACTGTTTCTGCAGAGTTGGTGCAGCTTCTTAAACTCATGGGCTTTGTCAAGATCTCTGTGAGAACAAGTTGCAGGGGACTTGTACCCTGGGCTGATGTTCCTGCCATCAGGGTCAGGAGAGGTTGTTAGGTCTCTGATCCCACTGAACCTATGGCAGTTACACCAGACCCTCTCTGTGAACCTTCCCACTCCAGTTCTTGCATTTCTTGTCTGCAGCTAGTGTGTCCCTCCCTGGGAGGAGGATCTTGCCTGAGGACAGATGAAGGGTGGGGAACCTTCCTCCTCCCTTTGCTCTAATTGCAGAAAAGGAGGGGGTTCCCCTACCCAAGAAAGACTGCCTTATAGGTCTGCCCTCTGACAGATGCTGCTTCAGATCTCAGTGGCCTCCTTGAGCTCTGGACCGTGAGCCTTGGGGACAATAGGTTGATACCCATTTGGCAGCAAGCTCAGAAGCTCCACAAGGTTCAGGGGACAAAACCATGGCCAAGGAGCTGTCTCAAGAGCAGGTGGCTGCATTCAAGACAGCCTTTGAAGAGGCTGACTTGAATAAAGATGGCAAGATCAGCATCCAGGAGCTGCGTGAGGTGATGAAGAAACTGGGCAAGAACCTCTCAGAGGAAGAGCTGAAATTACTCATGGACAGCGTGGACAAGGATGGTGACGGTGCCATTAGCTTCCAGGAGTTCCTGGATGCGATGAAAAAGCAGATGAAGGCCCTGAGCAGTGAGGAGATGAGAGCCGCCTTCCATGCCTTTGATATGAATGGTGATGGTCACATCAGTGTGGAAGAGCTCAAACAGACCATGACCAAGCTGGGGGTGGATCTTTCTCAGGACGAGCTGGACACCATGATCCAACAGGCTGATGTGGACAAGGATGGGAAGGTGAACTATGAAGAGTTCATGAAGGTCCTCAGCCAGAAGTGAGGCTTTACCTTGTCCCTGTCTGCCTGACTTTGGCCTGCCAGGTTCTGGTGCCTTCTCAGGGACCCTGCTTTTGTGGTGGGTCTATAGATGGAAAATCCGGTTTGGTGGATGGGAAATTACCTCATGGATGAGGAAGACTTTGCTCTCTTGGGCCTGGAAGCTGGGTGGTCTGGGGCTGCTAATGAGACCCTCTCTGCCTACTGATTCCCTGGGTGAAAGGCAGCCTCCTTAGTCTGGTCCCTCCTCTTTTTCCCACAGTGTGATGGGTGCTCCTTACCTCACAGGGATGTTGTGATGATCTAAATAAAAGGAATGCAAAGCCCAGCTGTGTGCTTCGTGTTTGATTGGAAAGCTGAAATTTCAGGAGCCCCAAATAGTACATTTAGTATTATTTTGAGCTTCAATCCCTTTCACTGGTCTTTGTGGAAAATCCTTGTTGAGTGATCCTCCACGGTCAACCTCCTGCCTCGCTTAATGCCCAAGGAAGAAAACAGGTGAGTGGCAGTATTGGGGGGCAGGGGAGTGGAGGAAACAGGTGTCTTTGGGCAAACAGTTTGCCTGAGTTTCAGGTCAGGCCAGATCTCGAGGCAAAGATGGGCAGCACTACTTATGTGCCCACCAAGGACATCATCTCTGCAATAGCCTGCTGTGCTTGAACCCCAAGTAAAAAAGAAGGGTGTGTGTCTCTGTGTATGTGTGTCTGCATGTGTGTCTGTGTATGCCCATGTCTCTGTGTATGCCTGGATCTCTCGTCTGCCTATGCTGTGTGGGTATGCTTCTGTATGTCAGTGAGAATGTGGGTATATATGTGTGTCTCTAAATGTCTCTGTATGTCTATATGTGTATACATGAGTGTCTTGTGGATGTATGTGTATCTGTATGTACATACATGTGTCTCCGTGTGTACACTTGTGTTCGTATACAGGTGTCCTGTATTTAAGATACAGGATCCTATATATTTTTTTAAAAGGTGGAATCCTGATGATAAGTCCCACTCTTTATAAATGGAAACCAGTCAGTTGGAAGTGGTCAGGGAGGAGGATAATCTTCTATGATGGGCAAAATGTAGGACCTGCCCCTAGAGGTGGGAGCCACTTGTTACATGTAGAGGGCAGAAATCTGGTGGTGGAGGAGAGTATTTTCAAGGCTGAGAGCAGGCCACTGATAATCCCTGAGGTCCTGCACCCCATAGCTGCCCAGAGACTCTGCCTTTTGAGACTTTGATATTATTTTCAGGTCTTCTGTCTGAGGGATACATCCCAGAGAGGAGTTGGGAGAGCAAAAATAATAGAGAAAGAATACTGAGATCTTGGCGGTCACCTCCCAGCCCTGAGGGCAAGCAAGACCAATATTTGAACTTACATTAGGGTAATGCTGCGTGGTTTTGAACATGAGGCCAACAGCCTGCTTATTATTTAACAAGCCTGGGCTTCCGCTTCCTTCTCCATGAAATGGACTTTTCTTTGGTGTGTGAAAGTTAGCTCAAAAAGCTAGTGATGCTGCCCTTACCTTGGGCCAGCTGTGGCTGGCTGTGTTCTCACCCAGGGTGGGTATAGAAGCAGAACTGGCTACTCTGAAGAGGTATTGCAAAACACAGAGCCTGGTGCATTCTGCACACCTGTGGTGGCCATGAACTTGGGGTGACGGAAGGCTGAGCCTGTCATTTGAATCTGGACTTGCACACAAAGCCTAAAGGAGTGAGGGGTTGGCCAACTTCACTGAGGAGGGACTGCCACATCTGTGAATTTTTCTTTTATCTTCCTCCATTGGACATTCTCTCAGGGTCACTCCAGGCTCTTTAGCCTCACGCATTGTTACCTTGCCCCTCCTAACTCATTCCGCTGGGTCTGGCAAATGTGGACCCCTTCTAGCCTGCAGGGGTGAGGCCCAGGGCTAATAAGAAGGAGAAGAACTAGGGCTGGGGCTGGGGCTGGGGCTGGGTAGTGCCTGGGGAGGGGAAGACAGGTTGGGGAGTGTGCCTTAGTCCCCTCCCTTGGTGCTCCAAGAGTGAGAACGGAATGTGGGGAAGGCAATGATGAGAAGAACCTGGTGCAGGGATGAGAAGGTAAGATAAGGAGACAGAACAGAGACAGCCTCAGATTGCATTTCCAAAGTATTGATTCCTTAATGCTGAGCTAGTCCAAAAAGTTTTCCAGGATCTGTGTAGAAAAATAAAATAATTTTTAAAAGAAAAAGAAAGATTTTTTGTTTCATTTTTAAAATACTGAAAATATGTTCTTTTTTTATTTCCAGGGTTAAGTACTCTCTCTTTTTGGCAGCTATCATCATGGCATAGGAAGTTTTGGGTTTGATTTTATTTCTTCATGCTCTTACTATGCAAAGTGGAGAGCTCCACATGTCTTCAAATTTATCTTGAAATGTTAGTGATCTGTGAGGTCTGAATGTCTGAGGACAACCACATGACTCTAAGAACAAAATCTATTTTCTTTGCTTTTAAAAAAAAATTTTCCCTCCACCTCCCCTGATGGTGAATTATGTAGCTTATACATGGAAATAATAGACACTGAGGTCAGGACTGATATTTCCTCTGGAGCAGGGGAATAGGGCTTTGGCAAAGGCATAAAGATGGGCTCTAAGGGATATCTTAATGTTTTATTTCTTAGTCTGGCCTTAGACTACATTAATGTTACGTATTTTATTCTCTATTTTTTAGTATGTCTAAAAATATTTTGCACTAAAAATAATATGTGTATATCATGGAAGATTAGAAATTACAGAGGAACACTTAGAAGAAAATGGCCTTCCCTGATAGGCTACACCTAAAGAGAACAAGTGTTGGCATTTTTGCTAGATGTTCTCCCTGTAAGAAGGCTAATTTGCCCCTCCAACTCTGACTATAGTACACATTGACTGACTTGGGGATAGAGGGCTTGGGTTTCCCATTTAACCAACTAGGCATCTAATCATTCCAGTTAATTTCTAGAGTTGAGGGGTTAGACAAAATCTAGAAAAGTTTGAAGAATAAAATTAAAGCCATTTTCTATAGAAGCGTTACCAATAGTAGAATGTACACACCTTCCCAGATTTGTCAAACTGGTTAACTCTAGGCCCTTGGGCTGGAGCTGGAGTTCCATGATAGAGTACTTGCCTAATATATGAGACTGGTCACCAGCAGTACAAAAATGAATGAATGAATGAGTATAGGTTCTTTTTTATAGGCTCTTTGCAATAGTGGCCCAAGAGCCAAACCTTTGAGAAGAAATACACTGGGACAAAAGTTCTTGGAACCTACAAAGGAAGGTCTTCATCCAAGAACCCCTCACTGTCCTGTTAGCTGACTGTGCAACTGTCTCTGCTGCAGACAGACAGATATATTTTGAGTCTTCTATTCCATCAAACCCTGACCAATAACTTAGAAAAAGAACAGAACCAATTGTTAAGGGAATATGCCAGAGAAAGTAGCAAAGATTTATTTGTGGGGAAGCCATCAGGAAACTAGGGCCTAGAGATAGCTAATTATAAAAGTTCCATACTCTCACTGAAAAAGAATTCAATAGCATAAGATAAGTGAACAGATAAGGGAACAGAATATGGAACCTCAAAATTTGCACTTTAACACAGCATTGTTTTGAGCAATTAGATGAGCAGATGCAGGAGAAATTCTCTGCCTTCCCCCTCTCTGTCCAGAAGCAGGACATAAACTTCCCTTTATGAAGTGTCTCCCTCTCCTCTCCCATACCAAGAAGAGGAAGGGAACTCGATCACCAGGGACACTCTGATCAAAAGAGATGGCATGACATACCTTAACTAGATAATTCTTGTCTTCTGTTAGTTTCTCCTATATATTTACCATCCCACAATTCACTGTCCCTAGAAGCCCAAACTTTTTTCCTTTATCTTATTACTTCTTCACAATGTATCATCCTTTGTTAAAATGGTATACAGTGGTACCTCAGTTCACAAACTTACTTCTTTCCATAATTCTGGTCATAGAATCTAGTTGCAACAAGAATCATGGAATAAATTCTGCAATCAGCATCATGGAAAGAATTAAGTTCATGAAGCGAGGTATCACTGTGTAAGTTCCTATGGCTAACCACTTCTCTGGATTTTTTTCTCCTTTTTCTGACTCTCCTGTATGTGTGCAAAATGAACCTCTTTTTGTTTAACTTGCAGATTCCTGTCACTGAGACCAAGAGTAAAGATGTTTCCCTCTCCTACATAAGCACAGACTACAACATAAAATGTAGCAAGTTAAAACCTCAGATAATTTTCTACTCAAAGATTATGTGTAAAAACTTAAGAATATAATCTTTTTTCTTTTCTTTTTGCTTTCTTAATTTCTTCCTCTCTGAGTCTGCCTTTTCTTTTCCCTCTCTCCCTCCTTCCTTTCCTCCTTTCCTTCTTTGTACTGAGGATTGAATCCAAGGCTTTTGCACTGAGTTACATCCCTAGCCCTTTCAAAAATGTTTTTATTTTTAGACAGGGTCTTGCTAACTCAACCAGGCTAGGGTCAAACTTGTGATCTGACTGCCTCAGCCTTCAGACTGCTTGGATTACAGGCACATACCAGCACATCTGGCCTTTTTTTTTTTTCTTTGCTGTCCATTCATATGTATCTATTTGTATATTTTTTTTCCTTTCCAGAAATTATATCATACTAATGGCTCTATAAACTACATTTTTCCACATAATGTTATATTGTGGATATATTTTCTCATAAAAAATAATAGAGATAACACACCATTGCTTTAAGTGGCTACTTAATAGTCTCCTAAATGGCGATGTCCTACCTGTGGCCTTCAAAAATGAGATGGAAAAGTATGTAAATCCCAGACCTGCTGCTTGTTACCTATGTGACTTCTACCTCTCTGAATCTCAGTTTGCTTTCTTGGAAAGGAGATGCTAGTGCCCCAGTCACCAAACTCCAAGAAGCTATTATCTTATGTAGTACCTGTGTATAGCATTAGAGATTGCTCCAAGCCTACTCCTCAGGTAGCCTGACCAGGGAGCAGGACCAGCCTGGACCTTTGAGGGGTACTGTGGTGAGTGATCCCTAAGGAGCTGTATGTCTTGGAGTCCCACACAAGGCCTAGCACAGCCTGTCACATAGTAGGTGCTCAGTATTAACTGTAAGTGTCCTGACGTGTTCCTCAGCTGCACAACATTCCCTCAGATGTGGGAGTGGAAGCAGGGCAAAGGGAAGAGAATCACTGTGCGCCTAAGTTCTCAGTCTCTGTCTCTAGCAGAAATATAGCCTCTTCTGAGAGTCCAGTCCGGATTCCCAGCACCTGGACCGCCCCATCCCTGCAGGCCACCTGGCATCAGGGAGGCCAAGTGATTACACCAGGGCTGTGGTTT